TTCCTTCAGTCTGTCTCTCTCAACGAATGCTACCTCCAAAAGCCCAATTATTGAAGCCCTAAGAGGTGTGGGACAGGAGACTTGTGGGACATTTATCAAGCCTAGTTTCTATCAGGGTCAACTGGAAGCATGTCTTCATCCACAGTACATACAGTCTCTGTTCTTGCAGAAGGCATTCTTGGCCTTAACTGGGACGAACCCGAACAAACGGCCTGTCTGATGTTTTGCTTAATTTCTAGCAATCGTATTTAAAGGGTTAGTGATATCCATATTTATAACTTTATAAATCATAATCACTGGCTTCCAGTAACAGTTGTGCGCGAGTCTAGTTCCGGCTGAAGAGTGACCTCTGACCCGACCCATGATGTGTTGACGAACGCAGAAAGCACAGAGGATCATGAATGAGTTTCGTTTGAACCTATCTAATATCCAACGTCATGCATCAGGTCTTAGCATTAGCTTAGGTGAGAGTCAACGCCTCTCGCGGTTCAACGAAAACTCAAGCTCCTCCCACATTTCGCTTTCAAAATTCTCATTACATCTAACTGGTAACCAGTGTTTTGTTTTGCTCAATTCTCTGCGCTTCCCGTGTTCGTCAATACATCATGCGTCGGGTCAGAGGTCATGTATTGGGTCAGAGGTCACTCTTCCAGAACTCGACTCATGTATGCCTGTTACTGGAAGCCAGTGATTACAGTTCATGAAGTTATAATTACGTATATTTTTCTTACAAAAACGCATGGCGTTGCTTCAGAAGGCCTTTTCAACCACCCAGCCCAGAAAAGTTATTGAAGACATCGTTAAAATAGTCAGAGTGACGAGAATACTTTCAAAATAACAACCAATAAAACAAACAAAAATAACTTTATTCAACTATTAATTTTCCACTCTGTAGGCCTCGAGTGAGTTCATGCAGTATAACGGTGCAGCGCTTCTGGATTCATCAAAAATATCTTAATTTGTGTTCTGAACAAAAGCCTTACAGGGTTGAACTAACTCTTTAAGACCATCCAATTCAGATTTGAACCCTTACAGCAAGAGAAAAATGTGAATGTGCTTTTGGTTTGGAGGTAAAAGTCTCATTTCAGTTTCATATCCCGGACGAGCCCCCAATATTTGTGTCTCCGGTAACAAATAATCAGCGGCTCTCAACTGATGAGTCACGACTCAAAAATGGTTTGCATGTCTGATGGTGGAAAACCAGCCACATTATTTTCAAAACTGATCTATATTTATAAAATATTGATAGGCACAATGTTAGTACTATGTTGAGTCACCACTACGTAATCCAGAAACCAAGCCAGTAGAGAATCACAGACCACTGATGACACCCGTACAGAGCTGACTCAGTTTGCTTATCTTTATAAATGTCATCATCATTATTAAAAACATGATGTCAGACAAGCATCAGGATTACCACATTTGCCATTCATCCTACATGCATTCTCCTGGAGGAGTGATGAGTGATATACTGCCCAAACCTGTGTTCGCAGAGTCACACCCTTACATTAGAGACGCCGGCGACTGATCGAAGGAGCTCTGAAACGGCACTCTTCTGACCACACACACACACACACATCACGCTCACACTATGATCCTGGAAATGCCTCCATGCTAAACCAGGAAACATGAACTTTGGAATCATTTCTGTATTACAGCTGGGAAAGCTGTTGCCATAATGCTATTTGCAAAGGTTTTAGAGAAAAAATAAAACAACAACTTTTACAATGTTGCAAAAGTAGGATAAATTAACAGATTTTTTAAAGCCCTTTACTTACAGGTAGGAATGCACCGATATGAACATTTTGGCTGACACGATAATCCGATGGCCGATATATTGACTGATAAATCTAAATCCAAATTAAGATACATTTTTAGAGGCTGATTAAAAAAACAAAAGGCTGTCCCAAGCATACAATTATAATATTTTCAGTATAATTTGATGTAGCCGATATGACACGCTTGTGCTGCACACGTTGCACTGAACTGTATTTTAATTTTATTTATTTTTTAAAGTGATTTCAATCATATTTCAAGCCATTCAAAACCATCATGTTGAACAGTGCATATCTGAAGGAAATAATAGATTATTTAGCGGCTTTAATAGATTGTCCAAATTGTCTTATTGGGCCGATTAGGGCAGTCGCGGTAACCGCAATATTGTAGTACCGCGCTACTGACAAGTCAACCGCAGAGGATTGCGCAGCAACCACGATATTCACGTTTTTATAAGGCTATACCCGTCTTGTTTTAAACTTCATGCATGTGTATTGAATGAAATAAAATCATCCATGTTGGCCACGTCGTAAACTTTATATATATGTTTATATGTAACAAATACATACAAATTAGAGCCAGACCGATATATTATCGGCCGATATTAGGCATTTTTCAAATTATCGGTATCGGCAGTTATAATGGCTGATAAATTAATATTTCAAAAATAACATAAAAACAGACGAAACACGCTTGAACCATCTCATGAGTGTTGGAGTTGTATAGTTTGTCCACCAGAGGGCACTCTACACCGTTCCTGTCGGCAACACTCGTTGAGTTGGTCACGATTGCTTGAATAACAATTAAAAGATCATCCCCATCCGTTCTCTTAACTCAAATAAGCATGACAAAATTTGTGACTATCATGTCCAGTTTAAAAAAAAATTAATAAAAAATAAAATATCGGCCGATATATCGGAATTTAAAAGCCAAAAATATTTGTATCGGTATCGATATTTATCGATATTTTATTTATATATATTTATCGATATTTTGTCCAATCAAAATCTCTCTCGATCAGGGCCGGCCAATCCGAGCGGAAACCATTCAAGTGCTAGAAGTGGGAATCACAAAGCCAAAACCCATTGCTGACCGCTTTCTTTCGGACCACAGCATTATATCAATGACGATGAGTTTTAAGACTAGAGACTAATGTACTGCAAAAGTTGCTCAAATCCACTGCTAGCTCTTCTTTCGGTGTTGTAAGGAAAACAAGAGCTGGTCATGTGACACCTCCACAGTAACTCTCCACAGGTGAAGATGCAGGTCAAGTAGGACGGGGTTAAAGGTCAAAAACAAGCAACATTCTCATACGATCATCAACGGTGAACACTGAACATCCATATGCAGATGCTTTTTCTAGCAGACATGCAGATGATGATGATGATGATGAAAGCAGAATCAGACACGCGATCAGTTCGTGCTTGCTCTGCGAGACATGATTGTCTCATAGTTGCTGTAAGCCTGAACATGTTTTCAAGGCATGTCGGGTCGCCTCTTCAGGAAGCAGACGTCAGAACTCAACCACTTTTATTAATATCCATCACAGTCACAGTCAGACCATGCTACTTTTTTTGGCAACAACTTGTATGACACACCGAAGTACGCAAATTCCAGTCACAAAATACAAATTTGTCAAGCTGATTTGGCCAAAGCACTTTAGGGATAAATCGAACCAGAGCTGCAATTACACTCGTCTTTTTTGCACGGTTTAGAAAGTATACTTTAATACTTAAAAAAGACGAGCGTAATTGATGTCTTTATTAATCTATATATTATGATTATTGGTTTACATACTGAGTTAAAGACGCATAATGTAACGTAGGATTATTATTGTTTTTTTGTTTTTTTATAATATAGTGATAAGGTAGAATGGCTACTTTGTAGTGAATAATAAGTTATTATTATATACTACCTTATCACTAGATATCATTCAAATATATATGGTAAGGTTAGGTTTAGGGATGCAAGTACAAAAATTAATTTCAAGCAGGTGTTTTTTGCATTATTTAAATAGTATTAATTTAAATAAATTAATAATTAAATTAATAAATTAAATTAATAATTTAAATTAATAATTTAAATAAATAGAACACAATAGAAACTCGAAAAGCAATTGTAAGTAGCAAAATAATAGATGTTACATTTATTGGGACTAATAACTAACTAATAACCAATAAATATTTACATATTAGAATATAATGATGACAGGTGAAATGAAAACTAAAACTGTGAAAAAGAATGATACGACTAAAGCGAACAAGTAAATAAATGAAAGTGACTATTTAATTGTTACATTTCTCTTTTTTTATTTTAAAGTTAGATTCAAGGTAAAGTTTGATTATTATAAAAAATATAACAAAATTAACAAATAAATAAAAAATTAACAGTTCATTACTATACTATGAGTAAACATTTATAATATTTAATATAAACTAATTTTAGATTTATAATATTAATTTTCCAGATGTTTATAAAAAATAGATGCATTTTAAACCTTAGGATGGACACATTTTGGGGGTCCGTGGCATCTAAAAGACTGACAACCCCTGAAGATGATGATGATGATGATGATGATGGGTTCGTCATATGACAGACTCAGGCACCGATCAGCTCAAACTCGCGTGCACCAGTGACGGCGTCAGTTAATGTTTCATGGATGGATTAAATGTAAACGCTCTACACAGAGTCCGGGAAGCACACACACACACACACACACACGTCTGCAACAGTACAAACAACTATATGAAGAGTTCAGCTCGAGCATGTCATTTCTGGCGTCAATTTGCACAACACACTTGACTCAAAGTCAGTCGCCATCCCAGCAAACTGAGAACGTTCTCAGAAGTTCTTATAGTAACGTTCGTTCAAAAAGATCTGCTTTTTACTAATGTTCTCAAAGCATTACTTGTACATCATCATGGAACGTGTTTTTGTAGGAAATGCTTTGATTTGACACATTGAAAAGCAGCATTCACGCAGGGCTAGTGTTTGGAGATGGAACGTTACTGAAACACCCATGGTATCATTCTTCAAACATCATCATGCAGAATGTTGCTTGTGAATGTTCTCGGAACGTTCGAAACGTCCAGCTCGAGTTCGAACGTCATTGAACCGCTTCGAACGTTCAGAAATAACGTTAGCTAAACATTCTTCGGATATACCTTTAGCTGTGATGCAGGAGCACCAGGTCAATCAGGACAATGATCTGAAAACACACTCACCCCATTAACCACTCCATGACGCCTGAACGGGATAAATCCAGCTAGAGCTGCCGTGCTCCTCGGTCTGTTCCCCGGTAACGCGAGCTCACCGAGTGGATCAGCGTTCTGCGGCTTTAATCTGTGTTTGCCGAGCGAAAGCGCGTTAGTGAGACGCGGACGAGCTCCAGCGCGCTGATCAAGGACCGCATTGACTTTGACGTTTGGCGAAGGGTGGCAGAGGAGAGTTTCTGCCGTGAATGGTCGTCTAAAGCCGCGCTAATCTCTCCGCGTCTGTGCCGGTGTAGGGCTCTCTCTCTCCGGGCACCGAGTCACCGGGGCACCGCGCTTCACCGGAGACGGGCTCGGATTGGGGCACGGGGCTCTTGCTGAGCTTGTAGGGCAACTGGAGTGGCTGTTTTCAAGCTCTGCCATACACAGGAAATCCGGAAGTAAACACAGGTTCGATTGCCGACCCCCTCTCTCCCGGGATGTTGTCTGTTCACTGGTGCATGCTGGGATATGTAGTTTTCTCTTCAAACGGAGGACTACACGCAGGCGTCACGCACGCAAAACGGTGTTTTTGTCATATTTTTTTTTTCTTTTTAAATATTACCTGTACAATTTTCTGGAGGACGATGACACGGTGACACTTTAAAAATAAATTGGTACTTGTATTACCATGAACTCAAGTAAACATGCAATGCATGTAACTTTGTTAATCTTTGTGAACGTTAGTTATTAATAAAAAAAAATACAGCTGTTCTGTGTTGGTTCATGTTAGTTCACAGTGCATTACCTAATGTTCACAAGATTTTTATAAAGTATTTGTAAATCTTTGAAATTAACATTAATAAAGATTAATAAATGCTGATGTGCACGCAGTTCATTAGGCTATTAGTTCATGTTAACTAATAGTTAGCTAATGTTAACTAATGAACCGTAAATTGTAAAGTGTTAACAATAGGCCTACTACTCTACACTGCAATAAATACAGAGAGGTATATTCTTTAAATAATATAATCTACTGTATCTGGGTAAAACATTAGGATTGGGGAAAGAAGAAGCAAATATAGCCTATTTGTTTTTTTCTCCTGACAATATTAACACATAATCTCATCTCGGCACTTTTTTTTTTTTGATCTGAATATCAACATTTGTGAGATTTAGTCAGTCAAAACCGTTTTGATGTTGATTTGGAGAGTTGAATATCAAACGTTTTTGTTTGTTAATGATGGATTTGAGGATACATTCATGTTTTTAGATTTGTGGAGTAGTTATTATTTTGAAGTAAAAGATAAAATTAGACCCTTGGGGTAAGATGAGACACATGTAGTAATACTTGTAATGGGTTATTATTCAGTATTCCATAAATTAGATGTACATTTCAGACATCTTTGCTTTCATTAAAACCTAAAGGTTAGTTGAGTGAAATCATTTAGTGCATTCATAGTGTTGCTGTTATGACATCTTCAATTATACAATATGGACGATTAAATAGGCCTAAGTACATATTCACATGCCTGTGTATATGAATCATAGAATAATTTTACCCATCTGCTTGGATTCTGCTTGGTCTGTATCGGTCATTTAATTATTATCAACTTAATTGACTAAATAAAATGTTAAATACAAATGTTTGTTTCATATTTTACATTAATGACACTTTAAAGATCGATATTTACATATTAAATAAAAATTTTATCAATTTACTTATGTGGTTTTTTTTTTTTTTTCTAAAGCCATTGATAGAAACATTTGCTAGATGTTATAGCACAAACTGTCAAATATTAAAGAAGGGGCAAGTTTTGTCCCAAATTTAAAATGAACTTTGCATTGAACTTCCTTTCTGGCCAATATCTGACTTCAGTTCTTTCCTGTTATAGGCATTGTGTTCATTTCCTCACCATTGTATACACAATCTAGCTATAATGCATACCATTTAAATGACTGAGTTTGACAAGAGCGTATTATTTCAAAATGTGTTATTGACTTTTATAGAAATACTACATTTATTTTATTTTTTTAATTGATTTTAAAGTTACAGAATTGGTCACTTAAATAATCTGAAAAACAAGTTACAGAATTCATACTGCTTTCTTGAGTATTTTTACCAATTGCTATACATTGTAAAATAGCTAAAGAAGCTTCTTTAATTAAAAACAAAAAGTTCATGGTAAGACACGATTCTGTTTCCTATACAACATTTGATCAGATCCACCAGAGGGCGTCGTTTATCCTCAAAAGAAACTCGTGTTCTGCTTATCTCACACTGTCATATTTATCTCACCATTGGTTGTGAATCCACTCCAAGATAAGAGTTAAAAATTTAAATAAATAAATAATGGTTAGTAAAATGTGGGTTTGAGCTTTTGGAGACACTCTTGAAATCTTGAGCATATCACCTGAACAGGCAGGGACTAAAAGCTACAAAACGTCCATTTTGATGGGAATCGTCATCACACACACCTCTGTTCGACCTCCCTCGTTCCTCCAGGATAACACTGAGAGAGAGAGAGAGAGAGAGAGAGAGAGAGAGAGAGAGAGAGAGAGAGAGAGAGAGAGAGAGAGAGAGAGAGAGAGAGAGAGAGAGAGAGAGAGAGGAGAGAGAGAGAGAGAGAGAGGAGGCTAGACTGACTGCATTTCCTCCTGAGGTACAGTATGATGACACTCGCTCCTGGAGCCAGATCATCGTGTTCGAGCCGCAGGGCTGAACATAACACCTACAGGGCAGACAAGGTCGTTTCAGGGAAGATCTCATCTCAGATCGATAGAGAAACATCTGAGATCAGCAGCCTGAGGCTGAGAGGTCACCAGAGCTCATTCAGATGCAGGACCTCACCTCGATTCTGCATCAGACCTGCTCCTGTCTGTCATTCATAAACACACACACACGTTCCCTCAGCTAAGAGAGTTTTGTCCAAAAAGCTGATACGTTATTATTTTTGTTAAATTAGGGTCACAATAAAGTTTTCCTGGAAACTGTTTGTGCCTTCATTTAATGTATTGAGGTATTTATTTATTTATAAATGCTTTACTGCATTTATAGCCTACTGCATTACATGCATATTTACTGGTTTTACCCCTTGTCAGCTTAACTTAACATCCAATCTTAAAACATGAAAATCCATGGATAAATTGAATTATTACACTACTAAGAGCATGATAATATAAACAAGAGAAATAAATAATCATAAACCATTACAATATTTAGCCCATTCTCTAAATTGTATATACACTCTTAGAAGAAAGGGTTCTATATAGAACCTTAAAAGGTTCTATCAGCGCTAAATATTTGGAACCCCTAAAATGTTCTATACACTTCTAAAAAAAAAAGGGTTCCTCTGGGTTCTATATAGAACCCTGGGGCCAATAGAACCTTTTACCAAAAAAAAATGGTTCTATATAGAACCATTTTGTAGTTCCATATATGAAGCGGGGGATGGAACCATTTCTGGTTCTAAATAGAGTGTACATAGAAGTATTTTCAATATACAAATGTCAGCATTTTTCTGCCACTTCCAAGCTGTAATTTTGTCCACTTATAATATTTCTAAAGGGCTTTACGTATTAGACAAAATAGTCTGGCCAAAAATATGTAAAACTATATGATATTAAACACCTTGTCTAAGCTCTTGTTCTAGCCAGACTAGCTTAATCTGTCCTGGAAATTAAATTGTTGGTTAAAAGACATAAATACCCAATTCCACTGTGACAACATGCATCTTTGTGGATGTTCTGTGAAGTTAAACTGATCATCAATAGCAACTCCAAAGTTTGTGGCTATTCTGGGTGGAGTTATGGTTGATGAGCCAAGCTAAATGGAGAAGTTGTGATGAGGTGTTGGGTTTTTCCCGAAACTAGAAGCAGTTCCGTCTTCACAAAGTTTGGTTCTTCATCCATCAAGAAGATCCAGGCAAACTAAGATCAGATCATCTGGGTGGAGTGAAAGGTGACATACAGACCAACCATCACAACTCAACTTCCGGTTCATGCCGGTTCAGTTGTGGCCGGTAAAAGAGTCGAACTGACAGCGTCTACACTGCCGGAATCATATAAGAAGAAGAAGAAGAGTCGAACTGTAACCCAAAGGTCGCAGGTTTAATTCTCAATAGGAAAATTTGCGTAGGTAACAAAAGCACCAATCTCATTGGTCGGACAGTTTTTAACGGGCGCAGAAACCAAAAAAATAACCAAATACAAACTCCGCTTAACGTCTTGATTTTTGAGTGTCGGTGTGCATACTCACATTGAGACTCTTTATTTAGTCACGAGTTGTGAAATCTCAACGATGATTGAGTGCACGCGATAATCGCGCGAGGCTTCGGTGACCTGTGTTCGTTGCGCTTCACTGTGGAAGCCGCAGCACGATTACTAATTCATAAACAGTGGTTGTTGTGCAGGGGGCCATTAAAGGACACGAGACTTGAGATAGCATTGCATTACCTACTCATTTATTATGAATGGAACCAAGGACGATCACTCTCTGCTGTAACTGCAAAAATAGATGCACTTGAGAGGCGCTAAAGTGCTGCGGTGAATAATTCGGGACCCAGTCAGAAGAATCTGAAAGCGGAAGCAAAACAATGATTGACAGGCCACCCTTAGATTTTGTTTACTTTCTTAATGCATGATCCTGGTGATTCATTGCTGTATGCTAACAGAGCCAGTGTTATTTTAGCATTGTTGAAATGCTATTATAAATAATATTAATAATAATTTTGTCATTATTATTAGTTTTCGTTTTCTTTTTTAATGGCAACATGATTTTTTTAAATTTAATTTACTTTTTTGTTATTTTAGCACTTTAGCAAATGAGTCTTAATTTTGCCTTGGCAACCAGCTGAAATAAAATAAGTTTACAATTTTCTTTTTAATTAAGTACATGTTTTTTTCAGTCATTAATAACCCTAATTATAATTCACCTCACATATCCTGAGCTTCATGAGCCATTGCAAAAGTAAACATCTCCCAAACCACTGTATTCTGACTCTTAAAATGATTTTATTGATTTATAATAATGA